CCTTGAGAAACCTAGCTACCGGGGGTAGTCTTTAAGATCAATGATATAAGTCTCCATCTAGTAAGAGAGGAGTAGTGTTAGACCATATGTCGACACATATGCGAAAACCTAATCACGGAGGGCCTAACCTTTGGGTGTTCATACCCAATGGTACGTTATTACTCCACGGGTGTATAAAACCTATACATGTGTTTTTCATATGAGTATGATATATGTATGAACAAATGATTGAAAATTGATACAAAATTATTTTGAATCATTTGATTTATGATATGGAGTGTGTTTTCGATATGCATGTGTTTTTGAGAAATAAGCATTGTATTTTGACATGGATTTGAGAACATTGTTTGTAGTCTATTTATCTTCTTTAGTATGTTATATAATTTCTACTCATTAAGCTATGAATTGCTCAGCCCTCATTATTTCAATCTTGGAGGATATTGAGGGATCGCTCGATTGTTTCCTCGTAGCTGTTTGATTTGAAGTCGACACTTTGGTCGTGTGACTCATTTCCTTGTCAATTTCTTAGAACTTATGTTTATTTAAAATTATAATCTTGAGATGCTTTGTAGTTATAATTGTGGGTAGCATATTAGGAGTTGATTTTGAATATGAATTGTATTGAGATTGTAAAAGAAATATTTATTGAGTTATGATAATGATGATATTTAATGATAATTTAAGCGATATTGATTTAAGAACTATAGTATAAGTGTAATCATGATTTGAGGTGTAGATTAGTATTTGAAGCTTGCTTGGGTTAACGTGGGCCTCACGGTTTCCTCGGTCCTTAAGTCGGTCATGGCCTACTTCCGAGGTCATGACAATATATATAAGCAAAAGATCATTTTTTTCTATAATCAAGACTCGTCAAATCCATAAAGTGACCTCACATTGACGTGGCATAATTGGATAAGGTAGTAAAAATGGGCATACAAATCTTTAATAATGACAATCATTAACTTTTTTTTATGAAATATAAGAGATGCAACTTCTTATGATGACGAGAGACACCCCATGTGCAAACGATTACTCTCGTTTTTAGAAAAGAAAAAAAAAACTAACCATGAAACATCAAGTATTAAAAGACATAGCTCCTAATTAACTTGAACAAAACAAGGTTAATAAAAGGAGTGTTGAGGACTCCCATCAACAAAAAAAGTCATTTCTTCAAAGGTCTATGTTAGCGTTTTTAAGTCTAATCCAATCATGTTTGTCAAGAGTTAGAGAGGCTTAGAGAGGTTACTGGTGGGTCCGGGTGACACATGACACCTATCTCTCTTCTCATTGAAGACTAAAAGAATATGTACTTTACCAAGCTAATCACACATAAAGTGCTTAAAGGTCGACCATCCTTTAAGAAATATTCATCCCCTCGAAAGCATTAAAGTCGTCACAATACGAGGTACTCAACCCGAACAAGAAAAGTTTTAACTCACCAACTTCTATGATAATAAAAGGAACAAAACATTTAATAGAGATACTCTTTCAAAACAACTCTAGTCAAATCAACACTTATCATGACAATAATGGTGTTGTTAAAGAGTGAATCACATCATATGCACGAGACCACTTAAGATTGTCGACCAAAGCCATTAACATCAAATGGAATGGACGATTCTACCATTTTCACGTTGTAACTTGCCAAAGTCTTATCAATATAAGACCTCTTTCATAAAAAAAATAGCGACGAACACTTATTACCCTCGCTAAATAGTAAGGGATTAACGATGAAATTGTGTTTGTTACTAATTTTGAATCCTTAAATTGGCATATCCTCTTCTTCTTTCCTATTTTTCTTTTCTCGTTTTCCCTCTCCTCCTCTAGTCCTCTTGTTGTCGACAAACGCCCGGATATGATTCGACCACCCAAGGTGATGTAATGTCCTCCCCAACCTCCTCCAACCGTCGCGATGCTTTTCTCTCTCAAAAAAACCAAGTTTTTGACCCATTTAATTCGTCGATTAATTGTTAGCTTAGTTTTGATTAATTAGTTAATTTATTATTATTTTTTAATTTTTTTAATTTTTATGTTAATTAAAATAATTAATCCGAATTAATTAATGTTAATCTAGTTAGGTTATTTTCAATTAGGCTTAATATAAATTAGTTATGAGTTGATTAATTTGGTTAATTTAATTAGGATGAATTTTTTTAAGTTAAATTAAATTTAAATTTGGATTAATTAGGGTTAAATTTTGGTTAATTAGGTTAAATATAGAGTTAAATATAGAGTTAATTAGAATTAATTTAAATTAGTAGTTATTTGATTAATTAGGTTTATTTAAGTTAGGTTTACATTAATTATGTTAATTTTTAGGATTTTTATGTTAATTAAAATAATCAATCCTAATAAATTTGTGTTAATATAGTTATGATATTTTTAATTAGGTTTAATAAAAATTATTTATGAGTTCATTAATTAGGTTAATTTAATTAGGTTGAATTTTTATAAGTTAAATTGGATTTTAATTTGGATTAATTAAGGTTAAATTCGAATTAATTAAATTAAATTTTGGATTAATTAAGGTTAATTTAAATTAGCCGTTGGTTGATTAATTAGGTTTATTTAAATTAGTTTTATAATAATTACATTAATTTTTAGGATTTTTATGTTAATTAAAATAATTAGTCCTAATAAATTAGTGTTCATATAGTTATGTTATTTTCAATTAGTTTTAATATACATTAGTTGTGAGTTCATTAATTAGGTTAATTTAATTAAGGTGAATTTTTATAAGTTAAATTATATTTTAATTTGGGTTAATTAGGATTAAATTAGCGTTAATTCGATTCAATATAGGGTTAATTAGGCTTATTTTAAATTAGTTGTTAGTTGATTACTTAGGTTTATAATAATTATGTTAATATTTAGGATTTTTATGTTAATTAAAATAATTAATCCTAAAAAATTAGTGTTAATATAGTTAAGTTATTTTAAATTAGGCTTAATATAAATTATTTATGAGTTGATTAATTAGGTTAATTTAATTAGTATGAATTTTTTTTTAAGTAAAATTGAATTTAAATTAGGATTAGTTAGGTCAATTTGATTAATAATGTGTTAAATGAATAAGTATGTTAATATTGATTAATTATTGTTAATTTGAATTAGCATTAAAGATAAAATTATATTAAAGATAACGAAAAAATATTAAAAAATATTTTGAAAAATATTTAATTTTATGTGATTTATTTTTTTTATGTGTGTATATATATAGTTTTGTTAGAAATTAATTATATATGAACACATAATACTAATTATTATTATTATTTTTTTTCATGTTCTAAAATCTATATTTTTAAATAAAATAATTTAATTAATATTTTGAAAGAACCTCTTAATTATTCAAATACAAATTTTTATATTAATATTATAAATTATTTTGTTAATAAATATATATGAATCAAACAAGTTAGTTCAATATATAGATTCAATTTAGATTAATCTTCGAAAATATTTACCGATATCACACCATACGAATAATTAATATTATATATATAGTGATTATCTTACTCGGTATAACATCATACAAATAGTTAATATTATATATATAATGATTATCTAACCGCAATATAATATGAACATCTAACTAATTTAGAGCTAATTACGTATAACCATCTCTCACAGGATCCTAAAACATGGGAGAGAGGATGCCTGTGGAGCTTTCATCAAACATAATCGAGTTTAGTTCTCGGTCATATGACTAGATTATCATGTTTTCTATCCCATGTGACATGGATCCCCATACTTTGTCCTTTTATATTTAACCAATCTTTCAACCTCTGAACTCATCGTGGCAAAGTTATTGGACCACAAACCTGTTTAAAAGGATTAAGATGTATGATGTCATAAAATCTTTAATTCAGTACAAAATTCATTCCCTTTCTGAAAAATTGGTAAGCTGCATATCTATGGATCAGAAAGGCATCAATTCAGTCCAACTCCCAGAGAAAAGTGGAGCGCATTTCCTTTCTATGGGGGGCAAGTGGCACCATGTTTAGATAGTAACTTTATGCTAATCATAATTGTGATCTGCTGCTAATAGGTTAGGAAACGTGTGCACTACGTGTAAAGGCCAAAACGCATCATAAAGACCTATATGCTTTTGCTTACAAGGAATATCTTACTAGAGGGAATCTGTTTAACCAGCGTAATGCGAGGGCATCAACTTAATCAAATGGATAAGATAACCTAGGACTATTATAAAATATATCAGTGCTTCATTTATAGAGTTCAGAGACATTGTCAATAGCAATTTATACATACAAATTCTGTAAACAATATACCACTCACGCACTTAGGTTTTGTTAATGATGGTTATGTATATATGTATGTATGTATGTGATGCTTCTCATATATCACTCCCAAAATATGGTAGCACCACAATTTACTATTACTCCGATATTTTTTATTGATTTGGAGGCCTAAGTTGCTCATAAAACCAGGCGTGCATATATGGACTGGGCTACACACAACCTAAGCTTACCTTACTACTCAATAAGGATTTTTTGAGTGAGCCCATTTTCACATGAACAGTCAGTAAGGCCGCGAAACCAGACTAATTAGCCCATTTTCGAAGTCTAAATTTGTAAAGGGGGTTTATAATTTTCTCTGTACATACAAGAAGGGTTAATCATCCAGAGGCAAAGAGAAAAACACACTAATATAAACGTAGACTTATGAACTACACCATGAAGTCATAATTACGGCATCTATGCAAAGAAAGAAAGGAAACAAAAGCCACGGAATTCACTCTCTAATTTATAGCACCTCCACAAAATTTCAACATCCTTCCTTCCTTCCTACAAAATATACATACCTGCTGCTTCTTGAACAAAAGTTGCATTACATTACGTGATACAAGCTTCCTTTTCTTGAGTCTTGACCTAACGAAACAAGTCAATCAAGCAAAGCTATAAAAAATTACCAGCCTCAAAAAGAAGGAAAAAGGGGCAAGAAGCAAAGCTAGAAAATTACTTAAGCTTCTAATTAACTAACTAAGTACAAGCCTGTCGTCTTGAAACCATAGGGAAAAGAAGATCAAGTTCAGGAGGCTTGAAATAGCCATCCTTGGGCGGGTCCCTCTTTTTCCAAAACTCCAAAGGCTTCTTCTTTGGTGGCGGTGGACATACCACCGGCTCTGGTATCCGCGGGTGTTTTGGAGTAGAACATCCACTATTCTCCTCCACCACCGTCATCATTTCCAAAGATCCTACTCTCTTCATCTTTCCAGAGTAGGAGAAGCCCAACAAATAGTGCAAGAACTACAACAATTTAGAAGGTGATTTGAAGTAACTAGAGAGTGCTTCCAGCGAAACCCGACAGGCAAATAGCCAGAATTTTATTTATATATTTATATAGTAAGATTTTGACAAATTTCGAGGTACGGAAAGTATGTGGCCAGTTCTGGACGATTCCAGGAGTAACTAAAATTTGTGGTTCGTATAATTACAGATAAGCTTAAATGGTAGCTACGTGTCTCGAAATTTAGCCTTTGGTCTAATGAACTGGACACGTGGCCCACTTCTGATTATTCCATCTCAAATTAGAAATGGCGCCAAACGTTTTTTTTTTTTTTGAAGCGCGGGAATCTGAGTAGGTGGTTTCTTTTTTGAACTTGGCCATGTTTTTCTTTTTCATTTTATATCCGCAAACATGGTTTTGATATATTGGGCTATTATAAGGTTATTACTCAGGTTTTGAAAAAATTTGGGCCATGTCTAAATGTACCGTTCCTGACACCTTATGCATTTTTTTTTAAAAAAAACCAAGTAAGGAAAGGAGAGAGAGAAAAAAAAAGCAAATATAAATTTTTATTTTTTATAGATTCGAATGTAATTTTCTTTTTATGTGTCTATCTCTCATCTCAAATAGATTCATAAAATAACAATTGTACATATCACTAATTATTTTTAAATGTTATAAAATTTCTTTAAATGATTAAGGCTACAAAGGCCAAGGGAAAGAAAAATGCACAAGTTATATACGTAGTTACAGTATTTCTTGTATTACAACATTTGAAATGGTTTATGGTAAGTAAGAAATGTTCAAAAGCAACTATTTTTTAGTTAAAATTTTGGAATTTCTCTCCACTTTTATAATTAGTTTTTTATGCATTATTAGCTGTTTTATTTGATTAAGCTATTTTTAATTGGTTTACAATGTTGTTCGATTCAAAAGTATTAATTTGTTTAGATTTATTTTATTAGTAGATTTAAATGTATATATATTTTGTAGATTTTACTAACTGTAACTTATCTTTTCTAAAGTTTCAATGGATTATGAAATTTTAGTGTGCCCCCAAAATTGTTTATGAGATTTTAACATTAAGAATGTTTAGTTGCGGAGTGTGGACTGTGTTGTTGAGGGGACTTGAAATATTCTGAGGTTAAAAGTATAATACGGAAATATTTTTAAAATTTTTGGGGGCTAGTAATAAATTTTAACGGACTGGTATGAAAAAATACTTCAAATGTAAGGAAATGAAATTGTTATTCTTACCATGTTTAAAAAAAATTATCAATACAACCTTTATCAATATGTATTATATAATAATTATTAGTAATTGACAAATGATATATTAATAATTGTCTAAAAAAATGATAGGAATAATAATTTTAATAGTAAATTTGGCGGTACCAAAAAAATAAACATTGATAATGTAATATATACTATCTTTCAATAGTTTTTTTTCCTCTCAAAATATTGTCCTTTGTTGAGTTTTTGGGAAAATACATGGTGTGGGGTCAATATGTTATTTTCTTCACAAATAAGAAATAGAATCATGGTATTGAACTTTTTGATATTTGTACGCTAGCAGCAAAATAAGAAGGCATGGTTTTTCTTTTTTTTCTTGTTCTTCACCAAGTGAAATGGTTTCATGAAATTTCTGATTAATTATTGAAACATTATTATATATTTTTAAATTCTTAAATTTTACATACATTATTAGAGGCCTATCATAATTGCCATTATATTATTATAAGACCAATTACTCTATATAGAGAGAGAGAGTAAATAGATAAGATTAAGACAAAAAAATAAGTAACCTCATTGGTCCGAATATTAACAAAATGATGAGATCAAGATAAAAAACTGCACATAGAGGCATGAACTCAAGGAAGAGGGAGAGAGAGAGAGAGTAGATGGATATCTGTAACTATTAACCAACAAAATGGTTGCTCTAGATGTTGCAGCCGGATCATATAAAATGTCATTCTACTCTTTTAATTTTTTTTAATGTGCCCATATATATATTCAATCCCCTCTTCTACTCTTTATTTATTTTGTTAATGTGACTTTTTTTATTGTTTTCAAGTCTATTTTTTCAGATAAAAATGATATTTAGCAAAAATTTCTCACGTGATGCCACATGTCATATTTTTCTTACAACGTAAAAAAACAAAAAATCACCAAAAATAAAAAGTTTATGTGAATATATATTTAAGATTTCTCTCTCCTCCAAGTCAATCAAACCCAAGTATTTTTCTTCTTCCTCTTCTTCTTTTTCTCTTTGCAATTTTCTCTTGGTGATGAAACCCATAAAACTCACATTTTTTTCAACTGTTACTCACCTTTGTTATGCCTCGTCGACCACCATCACCACATTCTCCGACCTCTTTTCTTTTGTTTCCACCACCATCTTAATCATGCTTTTCACCATCAACAAATTCTCCCATCTCTCTCGTTACGTATCTACCACCGTCTCAACCTTTATTCTCTCCCTCTTCTATACTATTTAAAATTATATCTCTCATTTACCCATCTTGCTCTGTAGGGATGACAATGAGTCGGGTATAGAATAAGTATTCGATTTATCCAATCCAATAAATACTTATTAAAAATGTCTAATAGATATTGAAACTACATCAAAAAGGGCATTACGGGCGATTTTTTGATTTTCTAGAGACGATTATAACCGCCTCTACGGTTTGTAGGCGGTTTTGAGAACCGTCCCAAAACCACCTACAATGCCGCCGTCTCTAGAATGTAGGGGCGGTTTTGCCAACCGCCGGGGAATTCGAGGTGGTTACAACCGCCTTAAATTATTTTTTTAGGGCGGTTACAACCGCCTCTACCAATCCACTTTTAATATTATTTGACACGTACTTTGGGGCGGTTGGAACCGCCTCTACAATCCCATTTTTTCAATTTTGTGCTAAATTATTGGGGCGGTTACAACCGCCTCAAAGTTTAAAATGGTAGAGGCGGTTTCAACCGCCCCAAACTCTAGAATTTAAAACCGCCTCAAATTTAGAATTTATAGAGATAATTACTACCATCTCAAATTTTATAATAGAGGTGGTTGTTTAACCACCTTTAATATTATAGTTTTATTTGGTCTTCAAATTCAATTAATTACTTCATTTTTTGGTCAAAAAACAAATAAATTAAAAAAAAATTACATCATGTTGAATGCAAATAAATGAAAAATTATATAACTTATACAATATTCTTACATTTGTGATTATCATATTCTAAATACATAAAAAGTCTTAAAAAATCCACATGAATAAAAAAACTAAAAGATTAAACACTTGTTCAAAATAAATGAAGCATCCTTGTGAGCTTTAACCTTAATGAAGCATAGGTTATCCTTTTGAGGTCCCGTAGCTGTCTCAATTGCTTTAACCAACTCTTCCTCGCAGAATACCCGAAATGAAAAATTCGGAAAATGATTTCGGATGCTTGATTTTACTACATTGATATTCATGTATTGAAGCAAATGAACTTAGTTCACAAGTTCACCTTGGCTATCCAGAATTTGCCTTCACCATTATGGATGGCATCAACCAAGCCGATGTAGTTCCGGTTCTTAATATCATTGTAAGGACCATCATGGATCTCGACTTCAATGGTTTATCCACCATTGTTGATGAGGAAAATAATGGTCTTCTCTCCACATCGCAGACATTGTTGACACATCTTGAGTAGTTACCTATTGAGAAATTGAAAGAGCAATAGGCAATGGATTAACTATCAAATTCGAGAAGAAAAAAAACAAATATAATTTATAACCAACAATAAATTTGACGAACAAATATTGGGATCTCATCCGTTTCTGCCACACTTTTTCCATGGACTTCATTTTCAACTCATATTAAGACCAACGGCTCTCATATAGTTGGAGTCTGTTGGTGAAGGATGTCATTTCTCCTCCTTTTTATCTCTAAGAGCACCCTTGGCTTTCGAAGTCATCGCTGTAATTCAGCAAGATATGATGCCTTCACGAAGCACCTCATCCGAATCATTGCCACGTTGACAAATTGTAATTTAGGATCTCAACATAAAGAATACAAGGAACTCCAATATGAATAGGGTCTTCTTAGGAAAGAAGGATCCAAGCATTATAAGTAGGCTAATGAACAACCACCAATGATATTTACATTATTAGTTACTTGTCCTAGTCATGTCCGGGGAATGGGTCCTTACCTTCATTATATATATAGATTTTACTAGGAATTGATAAAATTAAGCTCTAAAGATTGGATAAAGAACAACCTTTAGGACAAGCAACCGTACGATACTCAAGTGATCTGTTTACGAGCAATTTAATATAGCATACTCACATATCACATAAATGGATAGATAGAACGATAGGTACATGTACACAAGAAAAGAAATTATCAATACTAACGGAGATTAAATGACCCAATTCTCATTTGAAACCGAGTGCATTGGTACTCGATGCATCAACAAAGAAAGAATTAATTGAATGTCTTTGTTAGAAGTCAAAAATTAGGCTAGGAAAATAGATTTCAAAGTTCACCAACATTGTCACACAAACAATAAGCTTTGCTTGGGATTTGGTTAACATTGCAGCAAATCCTAAAAATCCATGCTTGTAGCTATTCATGATTGCTTCATTTGTTGCTTCTTTGCTATCAAAATCATACCGGAAGATGCTTTCTCTTTACTTGCTTAATCAAACCTCATAGATATTCGGAGCTAAAACCAATGAAACAAATTATGTGCATCCGAACTCTAAAATTGCATAAAACAAATCAAAGAAAGCAAGAGCATACAAAATCATTCAATGCCTCTATGACCATACCAAGAAAGATAAAAACTAAACAAGTGAAGGTAAAAGTAATAGCAAAATCGAACATGTTTAGGGTAAATTTAATAATTTAAAAAATGAAAATGAAGATTATGAAGTGTTAGAAATAAAACCTTCCAACAATATTAGAAAGAAGCACATGATGTGACTCTTCAAACGACTCGA